CAGACAGTATTTGAACCTAGTATTTTGTTCATTTTCTTATTGAATTTGTCGTATTAGGTTGACCTTCTAAAGAATAAGCTTGGATTCGATGAAGCTTTTAACTACAAAGAAGAGTTAGACCTGAATGCGGCTCTACATAGGTTGGTAACAGTCTCGGGAACATAAAATTGAATGGCTATTGTCTACGGAAACAAAAATGGTTTTTTAGAAATTTTCTTGAGAAATAAGATTCCAATTATTTCTACTTCTCACTGGTTAGTTATCCTTCATGACACTGACATTCAAAATTCCAGACATCATTTATTATTACCTAATTAAATGAAAGTCTAAACTAGAAATATTCAATTAATTATTATTATTATTATTAAGTCTAATAATAACAAGATTTGGTAACATTGTGGAAACATGCATCGGTTTTATGACTAGTAACTCGTGGTTTGTTGGGTCCAGTGAAAACGCACGCAAGACAGAAGAAAAGTTTGCATAAAAACAAAAAAACAAAAGCACCATTGTATGTTACCGTGAATTGAGAGGCGAGGATGGGCCCACTTCAATCCAACTAAGAATATACATATTCAGGAATTTTAATTAAACCTAATAATTTGGTATTAAAATATCGGTAAAAACTATATGATTAAATTACAAAAATTCAAAATATACCATTATTCACTTATTTACTATTAAAAAATTTAATTTTGTTTAGAAAAAAATAATTATAAAGTTATTGTACAGAAAACCACAAAGACAACCCTACTCATCCACTGCAACTCTACTATTTCACATTCCGCAACACCGGTCAACGCGTCCCACTTCCCACGGAATCTCCACCAACCACCACGTGTCAGATTATCATTGGACCTCTACTCTCCTATATGAACTCCTTCATCTTTAAAACTTTTCTCCCTTTATTCATTTTCATCCTCTCTCTCTCACAGGTTCGTTCTCTCCCCTCTCTCTTACCTCATCACCGCACTTTCATCTCTTTTTAGGGTTTCCATTCCGCCTAAATTTTTTCTGTATTTTGTTTCTCCTAGGTTTCATTCATCCAGATCTGCATCTTCTATTTCTAGTTTTTCAGTCTCACCACTCACTCCTAATTTTGTTTATTCATGTTTCCTAGATTTATTTTTTCATATCATTTCGTTTATTTGAATGTAGGCTTTGGGGCCTTTTAGCCCTTGTGGGCTTTTTAAATAAAAGATTATTTTTGGTTTTGTGGACTCACCAGATTAGGGCCAAATCTTATCAAAGGGCTGACTTTGACAGTTCTAGTTATGTTTTGTTAGTATTCTGTTCTGTTTAATACATTGATGTTTTCTACTCTGTGAAAACAAGTATAAATCTACAATAGGTTTCTGGAGATTTAGGCTTTACAAAACTATTCTTGTTGTACATGAGGTTGATTTTAGTGGTAAAAGCTTAGTCTTGACTACAGTATGTCCTCTTAATTTCTCTCTTTGGATACTTTGTTCTTTGTACTGCAATTGTTTGTCAATTGACAAAATATTTAATTTTTTGTTTTTGCTGCAAATCTGTCATTCAAGTCTGTTATGCAATTGAAACTATTTCTAGTGTTTTGCTTTTTTATTATGAATCTGTGCTGAACTTTAATAAAAAAAAAAATATTGCAATGTTCATTTCATGCTTTTCAGTTAAATTTCTTACATTCATGTCTTCAGGTTACTTGTACGGCATTTCAAAAGCTTTCTGAAAATCAGATAAATATGTCAAAGCAAAACACTCTCTTCTACAACTATTTCGATTGCATTGCCGTGGTCTGTCTGTGAAAATACTCACTTTAACTCGTTCTCGATCATTGTGTTTTTGGTATCGTCTCCGTTCAGCAGCAGCATCTTTCTCGATTTGTACGTGGAAATGTTTACTTCTTGTTTGTCCTCAGCATTACAATGCAGAATCTTTTAATTTATTTATTGTTCTTATGTATTTTATCCACTTGCATCAACAAAAGGTAATTATATTGTTTGAAATTATGCTAACCCTTTTTTTCTCCATTGACCTAGATGGCTGGACTTTTAGGATATAGGAGCCTTCCACCCAAGGCAAAGAATTTGGTAGTTGCTGGGGGTTTGACAGCTTTTGTCTTTGGTGCCTACTTCTACACCATGAGGGCTGTTGGAGGCACTGATGAACTGCA